TATTTTCTTATATTTTCTTATATTTTCTTATATTTTCTTATATTTTCTTATATTTCTTTTATTTTCTTATATTTTCTTATACTTTCAATCATGTTTTCTTATATTTTCTTATATTTTCTTATACTGTATTATGTTTTCTTTTATTTTGTTATATTTTCTTACATTTCCTTATATTTTTCTGCCACATTTTCTAGTTTCCCCCAGCTACATTTTCTAGTTTCCCCCAGCCACATTTTCTAGTTTCCCCCAGCTACATTTTCTAGTTTCCCCCAGCCACATTTTTTTCATGATTAATAAAGATATTTTTCTTAATGTTAAATAAAAATAAAAGATACATGTTCTTATCAGGAAAATATGTAAACACTCTACTCCAAGTAAGCACCTACCCATGTTTTATTATATAATGTTTAGTGCCTCTAGGCGTAGATTTAAGTGAGCCTCCAAGCTAAGATGACAATACAAGATTCACAATGATACCATTGAAACCATTATCTAATTAAGTAAAAAGGAACATATTGTCGGTTTTCTAGCAAGAATAGTTAACTAATAATATCTAGATGGTTACCTGCAGTAGATATGCACAAGTCATATTTGTGGAGAAACCACAAATAAAAATTACAACCATTGATAGATAATTCATTGATGATCAAACCTAGCTGCTAACTTGTTAAGCTCTCACGGAGGGTCACTTAAATAACGCTAGACCCCTTTAAAACATCAAATATTTTCTACGCCTGCAGAATTAGGATCGATGTAACCAAAGATCATAAAATCTAAAGTCGACGGAACTTCTAGCGATCCTTCTTTTAAAGAGTTAAATGGTGCTTACAAAATAGTCGTTTAAATCTGGTCAGTTTTCTTCCTCATTTTTCCTGCATAAATAAGCAGATGAAAAAAGATATCTACTTTTGTAATCGGGCAAATAACTCTTTAAACGAGTCACTTAAAATTACGTCGACAGTAATTTTTTCTCAATACGAGAAACTTAAAAATTTTCCTAGTGAAACAATAATAAATGATTAAAATGTGTGAACTGCTGTATTTCATTTCATATATTCCGGAGATTCACAATACGCGGGAGTGACACCGATAAAACGTAAACAAACATTTGATAAAATAACATAAAGGTCGTTAAGAGTACTGTAACTATTTAGTTTTGTTTAAAGGGAGTGAACGGCAATGTATGGTAGGTGAACGGAGAATGCAATATTGTGGAGAAATTTTTTAGAATTCATTTGAGGCATATAAAACGTCTTAATGATGTAAAAATTAACTCTAATTATCGAAAATAAGTTATCTAATTCAGTTATTATTTTCTGTAACGACTCATTGTCTACAAACATTTTCTTTTATTTTACTGGAAATGTTCATTGAAAAGACGACATTTGAAGAGTTTGTAGAATTCTACGAACAGAAATTCGATATAATCATGAAAAAGAAATAATTGATTCTAACATTGATTTTATTGAGAAATATCTAATTAGTTTATTGTAGAATTTTTATACATTTTTCGTCGACGTTATATGATAATTGAAAAAAAAAGATTCCGAAATGGACGATTTTTAACGTCGACTTTGCGCTCAAACTCAGTAATTTAACATCATACGTTTTGTATGTCTCAAATGAATCCTAAACAGATTTTTACAATACTCAGAACTCAGTTCTACCACANNGGGGGATGTTTTCCCTCGATATGAACATGTAACTCCATAATTTTAAACTACGTCGGTTTCTCTTAAGATCAAACACAAATATTTTGTAATATAAATCTTTTTAAATATATCTACATGGTACAGCATTTAATAAAACCGTAATTTGCAACAAAACTTACATTAGTAAAATACCCCGCCCCCTTTTTCGTTGTATGATAATAGGTACATTTTAAGCATGTAAATAAATATTTAAGTTCTTAAAGTGGGATCAATTTAGAAACTAAAAAATCATTTTTAAACAACTTGGAAAAAATTATTTTACAATCAGTTTTTTAAAAAGATTGCCCGACGAATAACACGAGAATTAATATTCTTGACTATACCCAATAGAATAATTATTTAAGAATGGAAACATGCGCAGAAAAACATAACAAACCAATGACAACGATTAAAATTCGACATTCAAGCCTTGAGCTTAGACAAAACAACTTTTGTTGCACGTTCATATAATTTTTATATATATAAAAGAAATATTACAATATTATGTCGAGGTCTGATATCATTAAAAAAGAGAGATGGGGGAAGGATGAGAATTTAAATTATGCGGTAAAATAATAAATCAGTTTTAACCTTTCCGAAAAAGGTCCAAGATGGAAGGGTTGGTAAGCGCATTTTCAAATACTGCTCAATGTAAATGCGCGAGATTATGGAGATGTTCCAATTCTTCTCCTCTAACTTTTTTTTACAACCAGGATAAAGAAACAACATTCGAACAAGTCAAAACTGTGTCCTGAAGAACAAAAGATTCCGAAACTTTTCCTTTTCCGGAATTGCACAACGTTGAAGAGCTAAAAGAAGACTGTTACTATTCTTGTTTGGGGAGATAATCTAAAACTAAAGGAACGTATGGCTGAAATTAATTCGAATCGGAATCCGAGCTTTCCGAGTCTGAATCAGAACTATCGGAGCCACTTGAATCACTACCTGAGCTGCTAGAGCTCAATCTCCCGGATTTCTGTTTTGAACCTCCTTCCCCCTCGTCTTTCTTCTCCCCTTTCTTTGAACTTTTCTTTTTCGGTTTCTTCCGAAGAGACTGCGTGACAAAGGTTTCAAGAGCGCGCAGTGTAGAGGGTTTCAAGGTTTCAAAATCTATTTCTATTTCGTCAGGATTAGAGTCCCTGAGACTGGGCTCTCTGTGCTGGATGATTTGGACAACTTTCCCGAGTTTGTCGCCAGGCAGTTTATTGATGTCGAGACTGAGTTGTCGCTTCTCGTCGTAGGTCATCGGTGTCGTCTTTTCCTCGTCGCTTTCGACAACGGTTTGTTTACTCGTCTTCTTTGCCTTTCCTCGTTTTCCTTTCTCGGGCTTTATTCCATCTTTCTTCAATTTTCTTTTGTTCTTTGATCTAAATCAGAGAAAATTAGGATAAAATATAATCACGCTGATTTACAAAATTTTTATTTCCATGAAAGTCTTAATTCCTTTTATAAAACAAACACCTTTTAGACTTTTTAGCTTCACAGAGAAACAGGTTTAACAGTGAGGGATAACTTTTAAAAACAAAATGGATTCCTGGCCTTCTTTGAATTTTACCAATACAAGTAACATTTATAAGGCATTTACTTTTGGGGTTAGGAGAAATTTAATTCATTAACTAAAACAAATATCATAACTTAATATTAAAAAAATAAATTTATTATTGATATAACACAAGATCAACTATTAAAAAATCTAATTTTTCGAAAAATTTAAGTATATGAAAATTATCATACCTGGCACTTTCTTCAACCAATAACTTCATCTGTTCTTGCATTTGTCTCAGCTGTTCCTATACAATTCATCGATATATCCATCAAATATATAAATTAATTTATATTTATTCAGCTATCTGTTTGAAAAAATATAAACAATCAATCAGTTGCATTTCTAAAATTCATTCCTAGAAAAAATATGCATAAATACCAGTGATTTTTTTAAGTGTGCCTCGTTTTAAAAGTTTGCTTTTATTTTTTTTAAATGGTAAAACGAGAGTCTGGGAAGAAATTATCATCATTGGAGTACTATTGAAAACCCCGTTTCATTGGAGACCCCCATGGACGTCTCGCAGGAGACCTCCAGATTCTCGTCGGAGACCCTTATATTTTCATTCACTCTAGTCTAAGGTCCTTTTATAACAATTATTTACTTAATAAAATATCAACTGCCTTAATGTCAACTCTAACTGTCTAAATGTCAACTCTGCATGTCTAAATGTCAACCTCTAACTGTCTAAATGTCAACTCTAACTGTCTAAATGTCAACTCTAACATCTAACTGTCAAACTGTCTAACTGTGAAAGTCTCAAAATATCTAACTGTCTAAGCGTCTAGCTGTCTAACTATCTCAGTGTCTCACTGTCTTGACTGTCTAAGTATCTAACCTGTAACTGCATCAGTTTTCTTTCTCTCTCATCCTCACTGTCGTAATCTGAAGCGTCGGTAACACTGCTTTCGTTCTTCACGAACCCACCCTGCATCACGGGGTTCACATCGTCTGGGATCTTGGCATATCTCATCTCAAACACGTCCTAAACATCATGAATAAACATTAGAAATGAACAGAAGAGAATTATATAATTTTTATTAAAGCATCCCTTCACTCCGCGGTACATAGTGATAACAACAATAATAATAATAATAATAATAATAAGGGTAATAATAACAACAACAACAACAACAGCACAGAAATGAGCAAATTTCAAGGAGTCCTTAACGCAAGAAAACGGAATAAACAATTTCAGTGCAATCGTCTCTGAAGTCTCATCCTTTGTGGATAATCCTGTATACACGGCGCTACGACATCTGCTCTATTTCCATTTGCTCTATGGTCATTTGCTCTATGGCCATTTGCTCTATCACGACGTTTGCTCTATACGTCATTTGCTCTATATTCAATCTGCTCTATGACTAAACACGTCATTTGCTCTATAACATAAAAATACACTATAAAATAGCTTTTATTGGAGCGTAACTTGACAATGAAATGCGGGAATTTTTTTTGGAAAATTCGCAAATTGCAGTTTTCATCAGTTCTTCAAAGTCCATCATGACAGCGAGACTGCTCAATAATAAGAGGGGTAAAAAAAAACCTAATATGTGGTGAAAACTATATTTATTCTACTCTAAACAAACAGAGTGTCTATCAGAACTGGAGATGTCTTGAATATAGAAGGCAGAATTGTTCTGCCATTGCTAAAACTTTCATAGATCATCACAGTCATAAAAATGTTTATAGAGCAAATGACGTGTTATGTCATAGATCAATTGATGTATAGAGCAGATGACATATAGAGCAAACGTCGTGATCTATGAGCTATAGAGCAAATGGTTAATAGAGCAAATGGCCATAGAGCAAATGACCATAGAGCAAATGGAAATAGAGCAGATGTCGTAGCGCCGTATACACATAGCTACTGACCTGAAGTTTTCTAGCCATAGCTACAACATCATGCTCTGGTGGGTTGTACTTGTAGCAGTTGGTAAATATTAGTCTCATATCCGCGGCAAACTCAGCAGGACTTCTAAAATACAGAGCGTCCCATATCATATTAGATTATCTCCAATCTTTAACGCACATAATACTCGAAAAATCTTGTATTTTCTGCAAAAAAAATTTTATTAGCCTTGTAAAGTTTTTCAAAATGATTCATTCTTATTAAATGTTCTGATGTGTCCCCCAAATCGTAATTTAGAACCATGGACGCGGTCCAATTTCATGTGGGACACCCTGTACAATATAGCTAAGGAATTGTTTGATTTTTAAAGGATGTTTCTCGCAAACCAGTGCTAGTATCCATTTAATTTTGATGCGGATCCGGATCACAGATCCGCACTGGATAAAAAGGATCCGGATCCAGGTCATGAACATTTCTTTAAGATTTACTGAATTATAAACAAAGCAGAATTGTCTAATTATTTTTCTTCGGTTTTCGCTTATTTTTATGCTGAACCATTCAGAGATCAGGATATTTTAATAATTGCTCTTTTTCAGCAGTTCAGAGTTGGGTTTTGAGAATCAATCGATTTTTTTTACCCTTAGATCCAGATCCATGGATCCGCACAAATTTTTGCGGATCCGGATCAATGAAGTCAAAATTTTGCGGATCCAACGGATCCGGATCCTTAACTCTGCGCAAAACATAAATGCAGGCAGAACTCTTTGAGCATTTAACTTGGAAAAAACAACATTAATCCACTTAAACTTATTCACAAGATCGGAAAAATTATATGAAGATATCTTCTACATTGTTGCTCAGAAAGATAGATGTGTTAACAATGCTTGGGATCCATTTAATTTTTAAGCGGATCTGGATCCTGGATCCGCACTAGAAAAAAATGGATCCAAATCTTGGTCATGAATATTTATTTAAGATTTACTGATTTTGTATAAAAGAAGAAATTTTTTCGAACTATGAAAAGCCATAAGTGTTTTCTGCTTCAGTTGATATTTTGCCCTTGGATCCGGATCCAGAAAGCTAAAATGTAGGGGTTCCAATGAATACGGATCCAAAGCATTGGTGTAAAGGGTACAATGTGATTCAGACAGGAAACAGGGGAAATTGGAAAGTCTCTTAAAATTATTAAAAGATACAATTTTTATCATGAGACAACGTTTAAGTCACAGAGTTCTTTTTTTACGTTCTCCCTCAAGTTCCAAAATCAATCTGCTTGGAAAACATAAACCTCGAGATTCAAAATTTTGTCATGAAAAATCACCGTTAATTTAACAGATTTGTGAAACGTAATTGAACAGATTTTTCTTGTACCATCATTAATTCACAACAATTACCAGCTACCTTTAAAGCTTTAATATAATAACGCAGAAACATATCTTAGTTTTTCCATCTAAAATGAGACAAAATATAATCCAATTCCTTGCTAGTCTTAGCTGTCCAAAAAAAACGTGAGATAGATAACAAATACACTTTATCGATATATTTGGCACCGTCGTTATTTGTTGATAAAAACTCACTTTTCCTAGAAAATTAAGTTTAAGTTCCTTAACAAATTCAAACTCTATTATTTGAGGCTGATCGAGGGTATTTGAGAAGATACAAATGTTGCTCTGCAAGCAAAAAGTAGAATTGTTAATTAATACTAAAAAACAAAAATTTCTCAATTTCGGAATGGTTCACTAAAAAAAAGCAAAAAAATCAGCGAAAAAAAGGGATATTTTTGTTGAAATTTATTCATGTTAAAAAATCAACAATTCTTGAAGAGTTGTTATTGACCTGGATCCAGATCCATTTTTTCCAGGGTGGATCCAGGATCCAGATCAAAATGAAATGGATCCTAAGCACTAATTACTATCTGAACCTAGCCTAGAATAATATACGAATATCATCTCACCTGTAATCTCTACCCTCCAATTTAACTTTCACTGTTCCCAAGTCCATTGGTTTCTTTATAACTTGTTTATAATCATGAAGATCAAGCTGTTCCGTATCAACTGGTTTATAAAAGGGCCAGGCGTAACTTCCATGTTTTTTATTAAACATCTCCTTAATGATTTCATGACAGGCCTTCATAGCCTCGGTCTGCCGTCCCTTTGGCTTTGATGTGTGCTGGGGTCCGGCATCCGGAATGTCTTTAACGGGTTTTTTTATCTGGCGCGCCGGTTTCTTTTCGTCACCGTCGCCGGTTCCGGGTTCACCGGTGGTTGTGTCGGCCTTTCGTTTTACACCTTGCTGCAATCGAAACAAATATCTTAAACTGAAGAAAATGTGTGCTTTGCATTAACACGATTAGAGGAACAGGACATAAAATAAACATTTTCTATAAAATTATTTTTCTTACAACCTCCCCCTTAAAAATTATTTTTCTTACAACCTCCCCCCCTAAAAATTATTTTTCTTACAACCTTCCCCCTAAAAATTATTTTCCTCCAATACATATATGCTTGTGCGTAGCGCAACATTTTGTCAATGGTTATTATTTGCTGAATTGGGGAAGTAAATAAAGTTTTGTGTAAAAAGTAACAAAAGTGTCCAATTTCTTCCTCCAGATCTTCAAAAGCATTTTCCCTCCCCCCAGGGAAGAATCTGCAAAATATACACCCCCGACAAGAAAAAAACAGTAACAAAAAATAGCCTTAATATAAAGATTCGTCTTAATTCAAGGTCATCATTGATGTTAATAGAAATAAAATAAAATGAAAAATATGATTTTGTCTCATTCCTGTTTCTTTTTGATGGGCTGAGCAAAATCTGCGGCTGGTTCTTCCACTTTCGGCGGAGGTGGTAAAACTGGCGGGGTTGGGGTCAGAGTCTGAAAAATTAAATAACATTTGTCCGGATTTATGTTTAGTATTTACATGATTCAGGGTTGTATAAAATTCTCCCTCCCCCCTGATGCGGGGAAATAAATCAAAGACCCAGAGGAAAAGAGAAGGAAAAGGGAAGGAACAGGGAACAGAATAGGAGAAAGAAAAAGGGGGAAAAAGGGAGAAATAAGGGAGTAAGAAAAAAGGGAGGGGGAAAATGAAAGGAAAAGGGGAAAAAAAAGTAAAGAAAAGGGTAACAGCGGAATAAAGAGAAGGATGGGGAAAAGGGAAAAGTAGGGAAGAGATAGGTAGAGAAGGGGATAGGCAGGGAAGGAGATAAGTAGGGAAGGAGATTGGTGGGGAAGAGGAAAAGTAGGGAAGGGGAATGTTGGGAGGGAAAGGGAAGGTTGAAACGGAAGGAGGAAGGTTGAGAGGGAAAGAGGAACTACGAAAGGGACATGGAAGGGAAGTAGAAGGGGAAGGTAAGAAGAAGGTAGAGTAGAAAGGGAAGAGGAACGAAGAGAAGGGGAAGGTAGAGAATTGATGGAAGGTTGGCAGATAAGGAAGGGAAGGAAAGGGAAATATAGGGAAGGGAAGNCCCCCCCCAAATAAAAGTTATGAATAATGAATTCAAAGACACGTTACACTCCTGGACTGACAACTAATCAATCCAGAATTTTTTTGGCCATTGCCACCATACCCAAAGTTTCTTCTAACAAACCTTAAGTTCAGGAGTTGGCAGGTCTAAGCTTGGTGTTTCCGATGTGCTACTGGTTACAGACATCGATCTTTCGGTTCGATTCTTTTTAGGTTTCATCTCCTTGGCTTGACCCAAAACCTCGGCTTCTTCCTTCGGCATTGAAGCGATTTTTGTGAGGAAAAGTTTCTCAAGAGTTTGCGCCATAACAACAATATCCTCCCCGGCCTTATTGTACACGTAACAGTTGGTGAACACCGTGTTAAAGTCCTTTATGCACTCTTTTGCGCTCCAATAGTAGTTATTCTCCAATCGCTTTTTAATCGTTCCAAAATCCATCGGATGTTTTATTATTTTATGGTAATCAGGAATGTTAAGTTTGATGGCATCTACAGGGGTTTGGAATGGCCAACCAAACTGGTGTTTCCAAACGGCTTTCATCACGGTATTCTTCAAGTACTGGAGTTGGTTGGTGTTACGGCCGGGTCGGTCAGCGGGTGGTAGGAAGGGTGGATGGACCTAAAACAATGTCAATTTCTGAAAAAGAAGTCTTACTATTTTGCTGGTATTAAAATATAAGAAGTAAAAGGGAGGATGAACATTGAACACTGTACACTGTACAGGCACTATTGCTTCAGATTATACCAAAATTATGTTTACTATTTGCGTGATTTTTACGTTAAAAGGTGAGTAAATACATAATGGACCGTATAATCAAATAGAATTATCGTAACATAAGTTAGATTTAAAAGAGAAAAAAAAATCATAAATAATTATTTTGCGTCTAATGCAATAATGTACTCAAGGATGCAATGCGAGGAAAGTCATTTCAGAGGTGTACACATCTTTTGTACTGCAGTTTACTGTCTCTTGGCGGTAGAAACAAAACGGATGTCACAGCCTGACATGGGATCCATCTTTCACATAAAAAATCAATGAAATATTCTGGTCATAGGAAACTATTATGTGAATTATCAAAATTAAATGCTTTAATCCTCCTCTCATACTGTAAGAACACTGATGCATCTGTTATTAAATCTACAAAAATGTTTAATCATAAACGAAATTAACCTGTCCATTGACTGGGGCTAGGGGGCCCTCATCTCTGGCTGGGGGCGGACTGCGGGGCTTTACAGGGGATGAATTCTCATCCCCTGTCGACTCCGTCGATGTATTCATAACCTCTGAAAAAGATCAATAACGTAACGACGAAGCTCAAACCAAATAAATATGATAAAAGTTGAATTTGGAGAAGTTTTTGAGAATAATCATACTTTCACTATCACAGTAATTCACTATTAAGAGGTATATTGGAGGTTGATTTTAACACTTAAAATTTAAAAAGTTCGTTTCGGCTGAAAATGCCTCAAATTATGTATTGTTCTTGTTTAATTCGAAAATAACACTTTTTGAACAAGTAAAAGCCTTCCAAAAACCTTTCAGATGAACGTAATTTAAGCATAACTGCGAAATTATCTATATTTTTGAGAATTCAAAGAGAAATCTACAGCGACGCCGCCGCCATCTTGGATTTCGGGCGGGATATAGGGACCCGGTTTTTTAACCAGGGAGGAAGGACATATCAAATTAATTCCTCACAACTTAAAATTTTCTATTTTTGTGTACTAGGTAAATACTTTTGTAACTCGCAATTATAAAAATAAAATATCGAAAAATACAAGAATATTTTCTTAGGGAGTAATTTTACCCCTGAAATCTTGTATATACGAGTTTTAGAAGACGACATTTAAATTTATTCGTGTAAAAATTTATCAATTTCACAGTTGCAGGATTAGATAATTAATAAATATACATCTAGAAGATAATCATGAATCACGGGTTTCCAGACAGCATACGTTCCATGATGGCTGTAAAATATCTGTTGTGCATCTAAAAAATATTCATATACATATATTTTCTGCACTTGAAAAAAAAGGAATAATATAAGGCGATAAGGAGGCAACCAAATTATATCAATAAGTATAAGACTAATGAACGCTTAACCAACGTTCGTTTGTACAAATGGACTAGACCGTTCAAGAGGACTAGTCCTTCTGAACAAATATCAACTATTTTTTCGAATTCTCAACCACCCATCACAACAAATTATACCATAAATTTGACCTTTTTCTCCTGTCTTGTTTGCACTGTGGGCCCGATAGTTATAATTTGATTTGATAAACTCTCCCAATTAGAAATTTCTTACAAGGTTTAAAGACCTAATGAAAGTGACCCGCCGTTGGAAGAGTGGCGTGTCTGATTCACAACAGTACCCAGTACCCTTTAAACCTTTGACTAAATTTCTCTACGAAAACGCCTTTAATTTTTTTATAACTTTTCTTTAGAAGCTATTTTGTAACTTAGAATTATTAATATTTACATCCCAGAAGTCACAGATAGTAAAGGTTTCAATTAAATTTTTAAAAACTGCGCTGGACACAGAAAATTAGGGACTTTTAAGGAATACGTGCAAAGTCAGCTGCGTTGAGTTCACACTGTCACTGTAGGCTAGCGTAGCTTTACACTCCAGCGTGTTAGCAATAAATACAATGTACACCATTTTGGGGATAAACACACAGAATTTTTTGTCGTCGATAATCAAACAGTTATATAAATTGTACCGTTGTAAATCTGGAATTCTCCTCTTTGCATGCAGGTTTACTTGACAAAAGATTATATACCTGTGGTTGTACTGTAGCGTTCTCCAATGTAGAGAGTACATAAAGCACACTCTTTGCATACTTTAATCTCCTAACAGCCAATCAAGATTATTATTATGAATTAAAAAAGAATCATGCTATTTTTTGAATATTCTATGTTTAATCTATATAATAAAAGTTAGAACTCGTATCTTATTTATATTTATATATAAACTAGCTTGGGAACCCAGCGTTGCTCACTCCTCAGGTTACTCATAGTAACTCCCGTGGTTTACTCGCACTTGGTCGATTTTACGGGGAAACTACATTTTTTCTATTAAAGTCGAAACACTCAACAGACTTTTAAAACCAAGCGAAGAACATTACCATGCTTCTCTCGAGTAACCCATTCAAAATTTGAGACAAATTGTTGAAAGGGTTCATGAGTTATGATCGAACACACAAACAAACAAAGAGAAAAACATTGATTACGGTTATATATATATAGATGTAAGCTATAGCTGGCCAAAACAAATTTGCTAAAACAAATTTGGTATTTTTTTTAGGAAACCCATGGATACCCTTTTTAAATTCCGCAGGCAACGCCGGGTTTACAGCTAAAGTCATAATTCAATGCAAAACGCCGCTAAATGGCAGGAGCATCATGTATAACAATAAAAACCTGTGCAACGCAATGTGAGTTGATCAATGCAAAAAATTTGGTCTAAAAATCAGTTTTAATCATTCCACTGACGTCTCAGTTTAGACCTTTGACGTCAGCTGGGCAGTGTGGCGTTGTCAAATAATCACAATATGGGGGGGGGGGTATGAATAAAACAACGCTCCGATAGTGGGTAAGAAAAGACTTTTAAAGCAATCTACCCCTGAATATGTTTTTGAATGTAATAATGTTATGATGTGGTTCCTAGAAATTTGAAGTTTAGAGTTTAAAGGAACCTTAGATCCGTTCCGTCTAAGCTCACTAGATAACTGGTTCACCCTCAGACTAGCAGCTAATCTGAAATTAAAGGAACACGTCAATTCAACGTTTCACCAGGTACACCAGAGGCCGAATTTAAAGAATTTGAGCCGCGGCTTAAATCCGCCAAAACCCGGTTTAAATGAAGCACCGGCTTAAATCTGGTAACATTTGATACAATTTTAAGTGGAACCAACCATATTTAAGCCGCGGTTTTAAGCCGCCGCTAAATTCTTTAAATTCGGCCTCAGGTTCAATCCATTTGTGGATCACGTTCAAGACAAGTGGTTCAATTTAATATACGTTCAACTACTTTTTATTTTCATTAAATCTGGTTCCACGGGTTTTAGGCTTAAATGTTAAAAGATGACTTACAGCCGACAGATGCATTCAGAAAAATGACATGCCGAACAAACTTATAAAAATATTTTTTATATTATTAAGTTGTTTAATTCGTTTAGATGTAAACAGTCTATCTGGAATAGAAATAAAAATAATCTTTTTATTCATGAAATTGAAACTAATTGGATTAATTATACAACGCAAATCAAATTGCAGAACACTTCTTATTCAGCTTGCACTTTGATGAAAATATATATTTAAATGATTAATATTTTTGGGGTGCATTTTTAAAAAATTATTTTTTTTAATGAAAAAAACCATTTACTGAAAAGAATTCCGATTGTGGAATAATACAATTCACTAACATGCACAAGGACTACCTGACTTGTTGTCTGCAAGTATAATCACAGTGGTTAAGAGCTAGCTGAAGCCGGTCAGACGGGGTCAGGTTCCAGACAACAAAACTCAGCAGATTTATAACATTTAGGTTTTCTTCAGTAGGGTATACTCGACTCATGTCATGCCTAACACACATTTAAAATATAAAAATCGGAAGAAAAGCCTGCTAGTGCTCATTGTACCAATTTTTCAAGTAAGAAACATTGACAATTTACATTCAATTAAAAAAACTTTTCTTTTATGAATGCATTTGTTCTAAGTAGATTGGCATTATTCCAATACTAAGAATATCATTCATTGTACTAATGCACAAGTGTTTTAGCCTAATGAAGTCCGGTTAATTTTCTTTTATCCTGATAAGACGTTAATTAAAAAGGACATATCCATCTGTTTCAAAGAACCACTGTATTAACAGCAACAAGGATGTATTTCCTCACAACAGTAAGTATGCTCAGGATCTGCTATTTCACAGTTCTTTTAGTAATTCTTTCTCAAGGAAGAAGATTATGCCCAAGACCTACAAGAACAACAGCAGCAACAACGGGTTCAACAACCGCAACCACAATCAAGAACTCAACTATACATTCAACAAATGAATTTGGTCATGATGAGATCACAATATAAGTAAAAAAGCTACATTGATGCAGGAATATGTGGACCTGTCTTCTCAAACTTAAACTGGGGAATTACAGCACACAATCATATTATAAAGAACTCAAGTAAAAGGGAAATAGAGTAATTATTTTGTCTGGAGTCCCTGATCATGATGCAGAACATGATCTACTTGTTGCTAATCCTAATATTCGATGTGAATGTTGGCAGTATACCATGCTTCCAACAAACCCAACCAAGCTTGATGAGGGAATTACTATGCCTCTTGGAACAGTTGCATTGGCAATTACTGGAGCAGCATTCTTTAATGCTGAAGATGCTTTCTTAAATATTGCTCTACCAGTTGAGGGACCTACTCTGGATTCTTGCTTTGGTCATAGTCAAAGGACATTAACCTATCAATACCATGCTAACATTAACAGTAATACAGGATCTGCTTCTGGGCCTAATTATCCCAACCGATGTCTTCTTATAGGATTATAGGAATCTTACGGATTCTGCAAAAACAATTTTGGATATCAGTTCACATCCTGCTATTCCCTGTTGGATGGAGCAACACTCACAGAAGGAGTTACATTTAGAAGCAATTATACAGTAGGAAGCTCTATATCTGATTATGAATATATTGATTCTATTTTTTTCTACTGGAAACTGTAACTTAGATAGTGGAAATGGGGCAATCCATCCAATCAAATTTCCCATGGGTTCAAATAATATTCTTTGGTAATTCAGGACCCAGCAGTCTATGCATGCAGTGCAGCAAAGGGAACTTTCATTTTTAACTAATTTTATTATTCAATAAACTTAAACAATTTAAATTATACGGTAAGAGGGGAAATGGGGTTTCGGTGAGGCAAAGAATGCATTTTTTAAATTTAAACAACATAATTTTGAGGTTCTTGGTGTTATTAATATAGTATATATTCCCATGGGCAAAGGAGCAAATGATTCTTGTTTAGGTAACTTTAAATTGAACTTAACTAACCTGTTTCTTGGAAAGAATATTACTGAGGGGTAACTTAAGGCTGTAAACTCCCAACTCAAATCATTCTTTGTAGCATCAATCATAAGAAACCTGGAAATATAAGATGTGGAAACAAAGGTCAGCAAATTAAAAAAATATATATTGCAGCACTTAAAAAAAATTAACCGAAATCCATTATTTTAGTCAATTCTAAATTTTTTTTCTACCCTAAGACTAAACTTTTGGTGGAGATAACTATACCTGTTTAGTAAGTTTAATAATAGGGATATGGCAAACTCAACAAGGTTAACTTTAGAAATAATTCAAAGAAAGGGGTTGTTAAGTCAACAACATAATTCAAAACCTATTTACAATAAAATTTAAAATAAACAGGTTTTAACCTCAGGAATAAACCTGATAAGACAACAAATCTACCTGATTGTTGGCACAGAGTCTAAATACATCTTGACTGTATGAAATGCATAAGCAGCAGCGGAACAAAATGTACAAAAACTGAACAATATTTTCATTGTTATGTAAGAGAAAATCATTTTTTAAAGAAAATATTTAAAAAAGGTTTTCTAAAATATCATTTTTCCTGATTCAGAATTAGACAAATAATGTAACAATATTTTTTATAAACTCACCTATTTGCGATTATAATTTGATAACAAAAAAAAAGATTATCAGATTACAAAGAATGTTAGACCATTAAAAATTTAATTCTGAGGATGAAAATTTGTTCCTAGAAGTATAGAAGAGAACTACATCTTTGTGCGGGATTATATCACTGGAAAATTTACTTGCACTAAAATAAAACATGGTCTGTTAATTATTCTCATGGTCAGGTTAACATTTTATAAACAAAATTTACTGACTCACTAAAACCCTTTTATGGTCAATATTATTGGGCTCTAACTGAATGACTTAAGTTAAAATTAGTTGTTTTGGTGATACTAATTCATATCATATCTTTATTTGCCTAACTGTCATATATTTGTTATCCCCATAACACTTCTTGGTTTAAGCTCAAGGATGTCAAGACAAATGAAAAAAATCTCACCTTAATTCAGTTATCACAGATACAGTATCAGAATTGTCAGTCTCAGAATTGGGTTCAAACCTAAATTAATGATATTTGTAAGGAGATGGAAGAACAGAAAGAATAAAAAGACATTAAAAAGTGAGGACAACAACATAATAAAATATGAATGTGGGATAATTGGCAAATAGCTTTTTATATGAATTCTGAGTGTGGGCAGGTCAAAGACATAAGTGACCATTTCCAAGATGTCTCGTTTTTGTTTTGAGTAAAATCTGAGTTCATTGAGTCAGAATGACTGGATGTAGAATTTGTGGATTGTAGAATTACCTAACATTTGATCCATGGTCTGTACTACGGAATCCGGGTTTACCAGCTAGCTCTCCAGTATGCCAGGAAACAAGAAACCTTTTCAAATCTTCCTCAGCATGCTGCATCCTGAAAAGGTGCGTTTGAATCCTTCCAGCCCGCTTCTGCAGGGTTGTGTGTAGGGCCTTAAAGGCTGGCTGGGGGTCCCTTATCACGTTAACTTGATTTGATTTGATAATGAGAAGATATTTTAAATAAAAATTTAAAGAAATTTTTTTTTTTAAATAGAAAACCATATAAGTTGCAATATCCTTATCTTCATATCCATTAAATGTCACTTAACATTTCCATCACATTCTGTGTCTTTGTATGATAACAATTAACCATGTTCTTCTGAACCCCTAAATATGTTGAATAGACTACCTGAAGTTGGCGGATGGAAGGTGTAATGATTCCTCTGCAAGATTAAGGATGACCGGAAAGGGAAGGGATTGACCTTCAAGACCCAGGGAGTTGAGCAGAGATAAAGAGGAAGAAGAATCCACCCGGTACATCCTTGGAACAATCAAATATAAGGTGACCTATTGTATAAAATGGTGAATATTTAACTTTGAGGGTATATTTCCTTGAAATCTGTCACTCCTCTCATCCCTTTCATTAAGTAGGCTTTATGGAAGCCTTATAGCAGAATTTGACCTGAAGTGGAAAGTTTTTAACAACTGAAGGGGTTAAGTATCAAAATAAAGGTATAAATAAAGGTATACAAGAAGAAGTCCAACTTTACATTGTTTTCCAAGAGCCCAAAAAGACATTATATTTCTGTTGATATAGTTCTTGAAAATATATTCACCTTATAACCTTTACAAGGAACAACTGAAAATTTGTTTTTTTAAGGAATAAAATAAAATAAAAATTTTAGAAAGGCCATTAATGAAATACCTCAGAGTTTTATTAGATCTACAACCAAGTCCAAACACATCTAAAGCTTCTTCACCATCCTCCATCAACCCCCCAATATGCATCTCTTCCACCAACATTTTAACCTTTCTCTTCTCCGAGGCATTTTCCTCCAGCATCAGCTGAACATGTGGGTCATATCCTTGAAGGCTACTGCGCATGCGAAACCTGTTTAAGCACGTAGTTGAGTTTGAGGCACTAGATGGCAGGGTACAGGCAGGGAAGGCATCCTCCAATGAGTCGTAGCTCCAGCTACGAAGCTGACAGAAGCTTGAGCTAGAGCTGCTTAATTTAAAGCTATCCTTGCAACTATCAGTCTGTCCTGGTTGCTTTAAGCGGTCAACTAAACTATCTGAGGATTTGGTTTCATCACAGTTCTGATACTCAATAGCAACCTGAAAAAGACTTTCTATAAAAAATTTCAGATTTTGAAGACTTTTTTTAGATTTTATTTCATTGGGAGATACATCTTTTTCTTACAAATATTAGAGAACAACAAACAAATATTCAAATTAAGAACCTGGCGAAGAAGTTTGTAAAGAGAATCTTTCCCCAGTTTAATCCTTGGACCAAACAGTAATAGGACATTTCCTGATCCTCCTTCCAACACCCTGATAGTAAATAAAATTATTTCTTCGATCAAATCAAACCAAATAAATAATCAAATCAAAACAATCAGAGTACAATTGGCCTACTTCCATCTTACAACCATTTTGTGATGATACTTAATTAGAATAAGTACATTAAATCAATCATTTAAAAAACCAATAAATCAATAATCAATCAATAAACAAATTAATTAATAAATGAACAGAAAAAAAGTAGTAAATCCACTAAAACATCATAATCATCCATCAATTAATTGAACAATTATTGTTTTGACAATGGTTAATTCAGTGAATTCGGATCAGTCCTTGGTAATTCTAATCAGTTCTTATAAATCCTGATAAATTCTTATCAACCCTGTTCAATCCTAATCAAGCAACCTCCAACATGATGATACGATGGTCAATAAATACCTTTTGAGAACATGACTTTTTCTGCTTGGTAAATTGAGCCATGACGCCGGAACAACTGTTCTCTTCAGGGCCCAGGAAGCCAACTTTTCAGAGTCAATGGTTCTTAAATCAAAAAAATTATTTCTCAAATAAAAAGAAATATTCTAGATTTTCTTTTTTCAATGCCTGCTTTTTTAATAAAAGTGACTTGCAAATTTCTTGCAACAGAACCAATAAAAGGAAATTGCAAGAAATGGGCACTTTTAAGCTAAAAATACGACCATATCTTACACATTACAGGGGACATTAGTTCCAAAACAAATATTTGGCCCATTTCTAACACTGAGTGTTAGAAATAGGCACAAATTGAAAGAATGGGTTTTGGGATCCCGGCCCATATTGAGAGTAAAAGTCAATAGTAAAAACTATAACCAACATTTTATTAAGCATCACAAGGACAACAAATTGAAATTTTAAACTATTTTCTTAAATCAAAATTATAGAAGGAGTTCTTTTTGTATTAAAACCCTTGACCGCTTTTAAGACAATCATCAGGTTTTCCATTTTCAAACATATCCTGAATTTCAATCGTTGTCGCGTTTTTGAGACAAAACCCACTTTTATGAGTCTAATCTGCAGTTCAAAACAAAACTCATTTTCACAAGCTACTGTAGAATACTTTATTTCATATAGTATACAATAAGTTTTTATACAAAGGTGGATTGTTTTAGAATCAGGCAGCATCACACACAGTACTGCAGTATAGAGCTCAGGAGCTCCAAAGTACTCCCCCCCCCTCAAGATGGTACATAGGAAGAATCATCCAGTGAATGGAATACTCAGCTGGAAAAAGGGGCGGTTATCAGTCTTCTTGTGAGGGAAGAGCTTAAGATAAGTTTTTGAGGAGGGCATTGATGAACCTGCTGGAGGCCCACTAGATGTTAGAGATTGAGGCAAAACTGTGAACTCAGGGGTTGCTTTCTTTGGTCGACAATGGGGAGGAGGTATGAAGAATAAAAGCTGCATGACAAATCTTGAATTTCTGGACAGGGTTACCACATTAATAGATGAAGGAGATAGCGTAGATGTTATTTACCTAGACTTCAGTAAAGCCTTAGACAAAGTGTCTAGAAATCGTCTGTTGGACAACATCAAGGCCCACAACATTAGAGGTATTGTTTATAAATGGATCTCTGAATGGTTGATTATTAAAATGCAGTGTACTGTACTGAATGGATCCTTTTCAGAGTGGTGCCAAGTTTTCTCAGGGGTCGGTGTTTGGGCCATTAGCATTTATAATTTTTAATAATGACCTTGATGGAAAAACCTTTCTCATTTTGATAATGAACAAGTTTGCTGAAGACACCAAGTTGGGTCACAAGGTTAATATAGACGCTGACAAACAAGTGCTGCAAAAAGTTGCCACTTGGGAAAATACCCTTGAGAAGTTGCCATTTTGGAAAGTATCTAAAATCTATTTGAGTACAGTATGGAGTATGCTGAGAACCCAGGAGAACCAGGACGATCTGATTACTTTAACTTTAATAATTTGTTTTAATTAAATTTTACCATATTTTTAAATATTTATATGATATCAGTTGAAAATATTTTTAGATTTCTATATTTCTTGTTCTTCATTTACTTCTTGTTCGTACTTCTTTCATACATTTTTCAATAATATTTCAGCTAATTTAAAAAAAAGAGAAGGTTTGTCCTTTTAACAAGAAAGAACTTTTCTTAAAAAGACCTATCTTTTTTCTGAACCCTGTATTTATTTGAACTAGCTAGCTGACTGGCTTTCTTTTCTCGGAGCTCTCTAGTCTCTATATTGAATTCTTGGGGGCACCCCTTCTAATTTTTCAGTTCAATATTTTTTCTTTTCTCTTCTTTATCTTGTTTTTATACTGTAAGGTCTTTCCAAATAGTTCTTTTTACATCGAGTTGTGGAGTAGGTAGGAAACAGATAAGGAGGTTTGTAGGAGGAAAGGTATAGAGGAATGCTCCCTGTGTTCCTTCTTTATTATACTCTTTCATAACTGCACCTCATGTGCAAAATGGGGAATTGTGATCCCTGAAGCTCTCTTGAAGGAATCTTCCATTGCAGTCCAGTCCTCACAGATGGTTGAGACGATCTGAATACTATTCTGGAGGATAGAACCAGATATTCCTGCTTATACTCCTACCTGGAGTTCTTGGAATCACATCACAAGTATCAAGTAAGTATAACTTTCAAAAAAGTCACTGAAAGCAAAAATTATCTTATGAGGCCTAAATTAACTTTTGAAGTATATTTAGAATCCAAGTTTTAACATTTTATTTGTTAAATAAGAGAAAAAAGCATTCCGCATTTTAAACAATCAATTTCCCACATTTCTGGTTAAATCTACATAGCAAGAACAAATAAAATCAATATTTTGATTTCTCAATTCCGTTATGTTTTTTTTAATTGCAAAAGAACAATATGTTTTTATTTTCTATTTTGTTTATATTTAACCTTTTCAAAAAGTCTTTTTTTGTTACTTAAAAATTCACATTTATATGAATTCGAGTAATTGTCTCAAAACCAGGTATGTTTCAAAAACGCGACATGAGCTGCAATGCGGTAAGTGTTTCAAAATAGGGATATGTTCAAAAACGCGACATGAGCTGCAATGTGGTAAGTGTTTCAAAATAGGGATATGTTCAAAAACGCGACATGAGCTGAAATGCGGTAATTGTTTCAAAATAGGGATATGTTCAAAAATGAGAACAAGTATTATCAAAAACTAATTATCACACCTTATTATTAGTTTAAAGCTGACAATTTTTGTTTTAATTAATAGTTTTAGACATTTCTTATGAATATATGGTGTAGTTTGGTTAAACTTGGCTTGGATTTGGAGATATATATGTTTGAAAAAGTGTTAGAAATGGGCCAAGTGTTAGTTTTGAAACAAATTTCCCCTGCATTATCAGATAACAGGTACCATTGAGAATCGAAATCAGCCCTCTGGCACGTCACATGAAATTTCAACTACAGTCCCTTTATGTGCTGGTTAGTGGGTAATGAATGACATAGGATAATATCCAAAGTTGAAAAATTAGCCAGGGGTGTATGTGTTTATTTTCCTGAAAAATCATCCCCATCCTCTTTGAAAATATTGTTCCCCCCAGATGTTGGGTATGGTTTATAGGGTTTTATTTGCTCAATTGGATAAAATAAAATTTTGGGTAAAAAGTATGTAAATAGGAGGAACAAACTTGCCTTTTCACATGTCCATTTTTATTTTTCCCCCAGATCTAAAAAATTGTTTCCCCCGGCGGGGGGAAGAATTAATAAAAATATACACCCCTGAATTAAGTTAATGTAATGCTATAATACCATCACAAACGAACTGCACAAATCTAATCTGTAAGTAAATGTTCAAAATTTTAAAACTTACTTGTTAGGGTAGGTATGGGTAGAATTATGATTGTATAGTTTGGTTGGATGGCTGGTATGCAACTGCATCTGTTTTGCTAAAATATCATCAACTTTTTTTCAGATTATTCTTTTTTTGAATCATATTTTAATCTTTTATTCGTCAATTTGTCAAAAGACAACCAGTCAATGAAATCGAAATCTACCAACTGGCTGGGGTTAAGTGAAATCTAGGGTTTCCAGGCCCTAACCTTCCACCTACTGCAAAGAAATAAAATATCTAATTCAAAAAGCCAAAAATTATTATTAGGAAAAAAAATCTTAAATGTTGATGCCTAAAGCTTGTGAAGTTACAACTCCTACACTTGTATACTGCTCCTGCTGAAGCTCAACAAGAGAAAGAGCAGTTTTCTGCAGCTCCTGTAATCACCAATACTCACTTTATCATGATTAATAGACGAAAATGAGAAGAAATCAGTTCTTCGGATCCATTATGTTTTGATACAGATCCTGGATCCGCACAAAAAATTGGATCCGGACCCAGGTCATGAAGATCTTCTTATGATTTACTGATTAATTAACAAAAGATGAATTTTCAAATTATTTGTCTCTTGCTTTTTCCCTTATTTTTATGCTAAAACTTAATGAACCATTTAAAGATGAGGAAATTTTAATAATCTCTCTTTTTTTACAGTTAAGATTTTTGGTTTGAGAACATAAAGTTTTTGGTTGATGTTTTACCCCTTGGATCCGGATCCGAGAAGCAAAAATGTTGCGGATCCAACGGATCCGAATCCTAAGCACTGGAAGAAACAAAGTGAAATATCCCTGATGATTGATATCCAACGAATAAGAATTAGTGTTTGGAAGATATCCGAGCAGAACTGAATCATATTCAACCTAAATATAGAAAATATCAGAAATATTCAAAATTGTAAAAATTTGTGAAAAGAATATTTTTTATTTTCTCTCTTGCTTCAAATTCTCTATTATAACTAAAGCACATATGAATTTTTATAGTCAATTTGGTTTTTATTCTTGTATATAACTGATTTCTCGATTTTGGGTATTCCGCCGATTCCGTTATGAATGTTACTTGCTGCTGTTTAAAATCATACTAATGATTCCACCAATTCCGTAATGGATGGTACCTTCAGCTGTTTAAAATTTGCATTATTCCACCGATTCCGTAATGAATGGTACCTGTAGCTGTTTAAAATCTGCATAATTCCACCGATTCCATAATGGATGCTACCTGTAGCTGTTTAAAATCTGCATAATTCCACCGATTCCATAATGGGTGTTACCTGCGGCTGTTTAAAATCTGCATAATTCCACCGATTCCATAATGGATGTTACCTGCGGCTGTTTAAAATCTCCATAATTCCACCAAATCCGTAAAGGATGGTACCTGCAGCTGTTTGAAATTTGCATAATTCCACCGATTCCGTAATGGATGGTACCTGCAGCTGTTAAAAATCAGGATAATAATTCCACCAATTCTGTAATGGATGTTTCCTAAATTACCTTTCAAGTACTAATTTATCTCTCCTTCAAACAAAACAAGCAGAAAAAAACAGCAAATTAATTTTCTTAATACTCTACACTCATTAGTTTCAGATCTGCAACTCTGTCCACTGTATAATGTATACTGTATTGATCTCGATATCCACCATTCTAAATTTCCCAGCTCTGTTTAATTGAAAAGCAAACCCAACTAGCCTTCCCACTACCAGCCTATGGGCCCACCCTATCGAAACCTCTAATTTCCTTGGACTGGAAGAAATTAAAGATCCTGACCAAGGATGAAGCTACAACAAGTACCTTATAATATGTTGAGCACTGGTCTGGCCACGGTACTGTATACCACTAGAATATTTTACCTATTAATCTTGATACAAACAGATTTACGTCTATGATGGAATATAGAAATAAATGTCGTGGAAATGAATTAATAAAAGTAGGTCGAAATGATTTCATAAATGTAGGTGGAATGGTTTAATAAATGTAGGTCAAACTGATTTAATAGATGTAGGTCGAAATAGTTTAATAAATGTAGGTCGGACTGATTTAATAATGTAGGTCGAAATGATTTAATAAAGGTTGGTCGAATGATTTGAATTCGATAAATGTTGGTCGAAATAATTTTATAAATGTGGGTCGAAATAAATTAATAAACGTTGGTCGAAATATATTAACATAATTAGGATAATTAAGATATTTACTTTAAAAGTTTTGGATAAAAGATGAAAACCGGAAGTATATTTCCGGCTCCAGATTTTCCACCAAACTCCTATCCGGGTACTCAATTTAATGGCTGGAAACAAAACAATTTAAATGTTTAATAAAGGTGTCTGTTAAAGGGACTGTAAGCGTAAGTGAACTCCAAGCATAGACGGCAATGCAAGAATCACAAATGAACATTTTGAAAGTATTACTGTTTTCTTTCACCAAGGGAAAATTTTCAAAATTTTCATATTTGTTGCTTTGTATGATTTGTATAACTTCATGTACTGCAAAAAATATTTTGGCATTTTTCCGTGACTTTCAACTTAAAACTTTATTAAGTTGAGTATTCCTTAGCACAGTCTGATGTTGGATACCAACAATTGACAGCAGCTATCAGAACATCAGATTCACTACAGAAATTACGACATTTAACCATTCATATTATTAAATACTGGGTTACCCTGTTAGAAAAATAAGTAAGATTTTTCTTTTTTAAACTTATTTTTTTTCATTTGTCCACGATAAATAAATAAAACCCCTCGAAACAATTTAAATAAAGTGAAGGGGAGGGAGATGATCTTCTTTTTAAACAAAACAAAAAGTCTTGCTTAGCGGGATGAAAACAGATTAAAAAAATATAAAGGTCCAAGTATTAGAATTGGAAAAAAGCTAAAAAAAGGAATATTCTGGATTTCATGCTTAATGTTCCTGAAAAACTGTCCGACGATCTCCATCTCCGCCCTGGCCTCTTGGCTCTCCCGGTCCCAGGCCGCGTAGAAGAAGAAAAAGGAACTCTCATAATACGCGGCATCCTAGAGGTTACAGCGCATATTATTTAAAATGGAAGACTGTAGTAAGTATTAAGGACCTTTAAGGGACTAAAGAAATAATTTCTGACGAGAAACTCCAATTCTAGAGTAGCATGTATGGATGGTATCCTTTGCTTAGTCTGGTCATTAAAACTGAATAATATCTTAATGTTTTACTCTTTAAAAAATATTTTTTTCAAATTGCGGGTTTAAAAAGAAGTGAATTGCAAATTTCGGCTGTAGAAACAATTGATGAAATTGTGTAAAATAAGACACTAACCAAGCTAGATAGACGAAGATTTCTTCCACATAATTGATAAGCTCAAGGTGTATATGGTACCCTTGTGAATCAGGCCCTTTTTAAGTGGCGGGTCCCATGAAATTACAAATGGTAAAAATCCTTTAAATGCCCCTGTATAGTAATTTTAAAATATTTAACCTGGAACCCAGAAAAAACCTTCCCGCTCCAATAATCACGAACTAAAAAGATAAAATATATTATTCATCTTCATCATTTGACAAAAATCTTTTCAACTACAAACTTTTATTGTATTTTATTTAGCTTTCAAGAATTGGTTACACTTCAAAATATTGAATTATTAAAATTCGAAATTCATAGATCCAGAAATGTACAATTGGCAGCTACTATGCCAGATTTTTACAATTGACAGCTTCTATGCTAATAATAAATAGGAAGCTTCTATGTTAATCCAAATTTGCCGTCTCTGCCTTTATCAAAAATAGCAGCTTCTACGATTACGAAAGTAATAAATGACAGCAATGGCAGCTTCTATTTTAAAAATAAATGGCCGTTTCTATGTTAACAAATAACAATAACTGTTGGCTTCATGTTAATTAAAAATGGCCGCTTCTATGTCAAGCCAATCTTAATTTATTAAAAAGCCTTCTATGTTACCAATAACTGTTGATTTCATGTCAATTAAAAATAACCGCTTCTATGTTTAAAATAAATGGCGGCAACTATGTTAATTCAAAATGCCCGCTTTTATGCTAATTATTTGTTGGTTTTCAAACATTTCGGTTCTATTGATAGAAAGTTGTGGCTTCCGCTTCTATGCTATTTAAAAATGGCGGCTTCTTAATAAAAAATGGCTACCAGTGTCCAATGTCCAATTCCATTCCAAATATTTATCACCTGTACTGTTCTCAGCAAAAAACGGTTCAGGTTTTCTAGCTGCCCTACCATATAAATCTTTTTGATAGTTTATACATTGAACATTTGCATATGTAAATAAAATTTAAGCATTGGAAAAAAAATAAATAACAAATTGCATCTGTAAGCACTAAGCAGCTTTTTTTTAATAACTTTACTAATAAATCTTTCAATTCCGTCCCCAAGAAAACATCAACAATAGACAAGAAAAACATCAACAATAGACAAGAAAAACATCAACAATAGACAAGAAAACATTAACAATAGACAAGAAAAATGTTAATTACAAACGTCCATTTTTATTTCGCCCACTCCATTAAATTTTCATTAAAAAAAATATATTAAACAAATACCTTATAAGGGGCTGATTTGAATTTTCAACATAGCTGAGTACAGATGACAGGAAAAAACCTTTCAAATTTTTTTATTAAATTTTATTTTATTAGTTATTTGATGTCATATTCTTATATCTATGTTAATGATTTAATTTATTATAAAAACACTTAATATGCAATTTGGTCATTTATCTAATCTTTTCCAATTTTTTTCTAGTAAAAGGTTTAATTGCTTTGGTTTTAAGTTGATTAGTTTGCTTTATTTATATAATATCTACTAGGCTTTTAGGGCGCTTCCCGCCATCTTCTATTTCAACTTTTAGTTGTGGCTTTATCTGTGAGCATCTTCTCTTTGTACAGTATAAAACAAAAACAAAACAAAAAATTAGGGATTTCATAATATTTTTTTTACGCATTATCAAAATTTTACAAAAAAAACTTGAGACAATTTTTGAAATTTTGATCATTCAGAAACCTTCCCTGGGGTTACGTGAGGTCCCACACAAAATATGGGCCCGATCGGTTCAGTGGTTTATTGGATACAAAACAGACACCCAGACAGACAAGCAAAGTATTTATATATATGTATATACTTTGCTTGTCTTTCTGTTTGTTTGTATCCAATAAACGTCAAATCGGCTGAACCGATTTTGTGTGGGACCTCACATGACCGAAAGGAAGGTTTATGAAAGATCAAAATTCCAAAATTTAGCCTCCAATGAAATTTGATTTTCATTAAATTAATTTTTTTTTATAAAATCCGTAAATTTTTTGTTATTGCTTTACAATGTATACAACGAGAAAATGTTAACAATTAAAAAAGAAGATGGGCGCTTCAAGTCTAGTTTCTTATATTTCACCTATAAATAGGAAGTCTAAGACCATTTTAAAGAAGAGATAAAGATAGCTCTTCTTAGGCACAACTGGTACATCTGAATAGATGGTAATTAATAATATTGAACCTTAGCTGAGAACTTTTGAATGAACTAATACATATCGATTTTAATAACTTAAGCTCATTTAATTCCAGCCATAGTCTCTCATCTTCTATAACGGATCTAATGAGCTCAGAGAGACTGGACCAAAATTAATGAATCTTAACATGTAAAAATTACCAACCGCAACTTGTATGCAAAAGTTTTAATTTACTTCATGTGGCCGAGTGGTCATGCGGTACTTTTTCTTGCTGGGAAATAAACGCAGCGGTATGAGGAATTAGTATAAATTAATGAACCTAAACTGGACTCCAAACACGTATCAACGTCCTTTACATCTGCAGAGTTTCACAATTAAAACTGTCAGTGAATAGTTTTGTGAACAAAATACACCTGTTATCTAGTAAATATAGAGAAAGGGATAAATAGTTGCTTCAAATCCTTTGTCTCTCCCCTTTTATAACAAGGCGTGTAAAACTGTTAAGGTTAATTGCCCTTTTTTTATTAATATTCTTTTTGTTTTTGTCTTTTAACAAATAACTTAGTCGAAAAAATTCCTTTATTTTAACCGTCCACCAGACTCACCAGACAAACAATACTGACTGAAATTTGATACACAGTACTCGTTGAGTAGTGAGTACTTCTCAGTCTACGGTCCAGGTTTAGCAAAAAAGTGTAATTAAAGATTGAAAGTTATGCACTCCAGCCCCCCCCCCCTCTTAGTGCCTTGGATTATAATTCACTTGCGCAGAAATTAAACTAGTTTTTTTCATTATCGTCGCAATTTCAATTGACCCCTTCGGCCATGTCAGGTTTGGTGTAAAAAAAAACGTGAAATTCTTTTAACTTCTCCATTGCTTCATATAAGCAAGAAATGCTTAAGCCACTTAATCAGAGAAACCGAAAAATAAAATAAACAGTTGAAAGCAACAAAAACAAGAATATATTATTCAAACTGGATCAGACAAAGCTTGAAAGGGTACGGTTGTGTATCAAAAAATGCCCGTCTTTGAATGGACGGTCACTTGAAATTACGCTTGAAGTTACGCTGGAAGTCCCTTTAAAGAGGTCACTGAAGAAGTCCTGCTTAACAGAAGATTAGAGTAGTCTTTAAAACTGAGAATAAATATATTTTGATTGTCTATTTCTACCTGTATCTCCTGTAGCAGTAGTATTATTAGTAGCTGTAAATTCTGCAGATTCATTAGCATTATCACAACTTTCAACCATTCCTAATCATTCACAATTCAGTGAACCATCCCTTTTAGCAGTGCTTAGGATCCGGATCCGTTGGATCCGCAAAATTTTGGCTTCCTGGATCCGGGTGCCCAAAAATATCTACAAAGACTGTAAAAGAACTTTTGCTGAAGTGATGAAATAAGATTTCTTTGTTTATAAATGCAAGTTTTAGACAAAATTTAAAAGTAATTTTAAAAATTTGTAAAAAAAAAATAGTAAATCTATTTTTTCTGGAAGGATCCAGGATTCGCATCAAGATGAACTGGATTATAAGTACTGACTTTTAGAAAATTCTTTAATTTGCTTAATGTCGCGTTTTATTTTCACTCGATCTTCTTCAAACAAATGATACTAACTAATTTAAATTTTAGAGAAATATATCGTCTAAATCCTCTTCTTACTTTCTTACATATTATTATTAACTTTCCTAATTTTATTTTATATATTTATACCTTTCTAATCTTACTTTCCGACAAAAAAAAATCATAAATGTTCAACAAAAATCTCGTATTTTTGTAAAACCAATACTATTTACTATTTTTAATGAAAATTTTTTTTTAAAAGCAGTTCAACCTTAAACTAAAATCATCGTTAAACTACTTTTGAGCTTTATAGAAAGTTTTGGGGGAATTATTTTTAGGGGG